TTTTTAGCATATTTAAAAGTTTTGATTAAGTAAACTAAATTCAATGAAAAAATAAAAGAAGCATGCACTTAAGGTATACATCTACATAACTTATGAAACTGACTCTAAAGGAAATATGTCACTGACAATCAATAGGTTTTAAGGCTAAGTCACTTAAAGAAGGAACACAGCCCTTAAATGACTTACTTACTTGTAAATATCCTACCTTTAGAATTTTTCAATTAAGTATTATTGTTATTACTATGACTTCTTAATTACATATACACTCACTCTCAGCATATCAAACATTTTCTATCCAATCCAGTCCTTCATTCTTCCCTTTTAACAGTTGCATAGCTGATTACACAAAAGACTAATGAAAGTACAAAAGGAGACTATGTGAGAGAATGGAAGAATGTTCTCTCTTATAGAACATACTGGAAGTTGCCATACCTTCTTATACTCTTTGACAGATTATCAAGTAAATTCCAAGTAATGAGAACTGGAATGTCTCTAAAACTACAATCAATAGGATTGTACTCAAGATCAATTCTTTAATTTCTTTTTTCATCCTTAATGTACATTCTTTTCCTTTAAAATGCATCAATTATTTTACTAGGTAGTTTAGCTAATTTCATGGTAAAATTGCTAAGAAACAATACATTGTAACAGCAGCGATGATTGGGAAGACAAATATGACCTCCAAAATACCTCTGTTTCTATGGAAAGAAAGATAAATATATAATATAGTAAGGGAAAGACTCTGCAGTGGTTGGGGAAAAGACAAATAACATCTCAGGATACATTGACATTTCCCTGAGGAAAATGTTTAGTCTTCTCTTCACAGAAAGGGTAAATGGTAGAGGTTTTTAATAATCTAATTATGAATCATTAATTAACAAATTGGTATGCATTATTATTAGGCATATTTATACAATAAGAACATGGAAAGGTATGTAATTTTGTATTTCAATGGACATTTCTATCTGTTCACTGAAAAATATAAGAACACCCACAAGTTCCTGCTTTTAGAAAGGTACTCAAGCAGTGAAGTGCATCCCACTGCAGTCTCTGTGATCTTTATTTCCTTTCACTGTTTTCTGGAGTTTATTTTGTTTTCATTCATACTCAATGATTTCTTTAAGTCATCTATCACATTATACTTTATTGCTCTTTACCTCACATCACATGATGAAGATGCTTTATGTTCACAAATTCTAAAAGCTTTCTAAATTAGAGCAAATTTCAAACAATGCATATATATTTCAAAAACATGGAAATTTCTCTTAAAAGTAAAAAGTCATAAAAGTAAAGTCAAGTCATAATATCTTTATTTCTAACAACAGCAAACATAAAACCATCTACTTACTTTTCATTACAAATACGAGATTTTGTGAAAGGGAATCTTTATTTTTTTCTATTGCACCAGCAATTTCATAAGTAACCTATAACAAAATATTGTGACATCATTAGTAATGACCAATGCATCTTTTAACAGTCTTACAGCAGTAGAAATTAAGCTATGTTTTTTTGGGGTTTTTTTTGCTCAACAGTTAAAGGCTGGCACCAGGTAGTATCTTTTGTTCCATTCATAGCCCAAATAATACTAATCAAAAGATCTGGTCATTGAACTTTGTGTGTCACTGCAAGTAGAAATTTAATCAGACTGATTCCAAAAAATTCCTACAATGCAAGACTTTGATTCAAAGTGTGGTGTAGAGCAGAAGACAGTAACCTAAACATCACTTTCCCTGTAGGATCAGCGAGTCACTCACAGATCAGAGAACTCTTTGTCAATGGGAAACTGTCCACACTGACCATGACAAAACACTCATGGAGCAACCTGAGTCCCAGCTCACACCCAGGACAAATTCCAGCCATTTATATGTCCTTTGGAGGAAAATTCAGTCTATAGGTTCTGTACAAATCCCATTTACCTTTCTAACAACTACGCTCATAAGGATTTTGGATCACCTTAGTTGTTTGATGTCAGAATTTGAAGAACAGACAGTTGAGTTATCACTCCATCTGCCATCTGACTGCAGATAAACACACATATATGTGGTGGGCACTCTGAGAAGTGAGTAAAATGCAAGGCTTTAGCCAGAGTTCCTGAGGGTACATCCAAAATGAAGAAATATAACCAAGTAGCTGTTTTAACATTAAGCCCATCCCAGGAGACACTGTATAGAAAAGCAGCACTAAGACCAAAAAGCAGTCAATGAGCTGAGGTTGTTTTTTTGTTTGGGTTTTTTTTTTTACTTTTTAGTGGGGGTGGAAAACAAACAACTAGTTAATTTACAGGTTTTAGACAAAAACAGCTCTGGCTTGCATGGTAGTAGAACCCAAAGGGAATTTTTAAGTTAAAAAGGAAGAAAATTATAGATTGTAGTATGTCCAGTATTAGGCAGACACTTATGGAAACTTCTTAGATTACAGTTTATTTTATCTACCTTGGGACTATGTTTTTATCTAAAGCCTTTTTAATGTTTTTCATTGGATCTATATCCTAAGCCCCCTAGATATTTGGGGAAATTTTATCCATGTATATTTAATAAAGCTATAAATATATAATTAAGATTAGTAATACTAATCAGTGCATTAATTTTGTTTTCTATTGGGTCATTTGACAATTATGTAATGCTATCTTACTCATGAAGGAGATTATATGACTTGGATGTGTATAATCTGTTACAGTTAGTAATTGTCAAATGATGTAATTAGTATGGCACTGACACAGAGAAGGTATAACAATAGAATTATATTATTTTCCATGACAGATGCAATGTTATATAATTTTCTAATTGCATCTCCTAAGAACATACAACATAGTTAGCAAACTATTATAATAATTTAAGTATACTATTAAATGCTTTTAGTGTATTTAAAGTAAATGTTCTATCATACTGGTCCATAAAAGATAATTAACAGAACTTATTTGACAAATCCATAATGCCATTTCCTCTTAATTGAGTGTCTTAAGCCCTGACTAAATTAGAAGAAGAGAGTTAGTATTGGTGGGAAGGGCAGGTAAGTATAGCAGTGGGAGATACTATATTATGATTAAGTGCCTATATTGAAACAAGGAGAAGTCTCAGTACTGGTGCTGGTATAATACGTCACCAACTTCTAGAACTATATTCATAAGACATCTCTCATATCACATACAATACATAGAAGTTATCAAGATAACCTTTTATGAAGAAATTGGTAACTCTAACAGTTTTCCCATAGACTTGGTAAATTAATTCACTGCCTAAAGACATGAAAACTGATTCAATGAAAGGGCACTCTAGGGTTCCATTTTCATTGCCAGTCCCACAAAACAGAAAAAGAAAGAAGTCCTTTTGTAGCTGTCAGTTTTGTTAATTTAATACTGTCCTCACCAGAGATGCCAACCTACACAGCACTTTGCCTAAAACATGTATATTATTTCCCTCAGTTTTCTTCCATTGGGTTTCTAAAGTAAACCTGACCAAAACTGCATTGATTGGCACTCAAGCACAGTGGATAGCTATTCTGAGGAGACAAAAAACAAACAAATATTATGTGATTCAGACAGGAAATATGCATTCACTTACATCATGGTTCCAGTATTATAAAATATACTCTTTATTCTCACTTTTATTTATTGAAGCAGTTTGCTCTACCTTGCTTTACATGATGAACTATTTTGGGGTAGAGAGTAATGTAAACTTACCTGTCTGTGTTAACTGAAAGAAACAAGGTCTTTAGATATTATCTGAACTATACTTCACCTAACTAGTTGAAGTATTTTTATTAAAAAAGAAAATAGTGTGCAGTTCCAGACTGCATTTTATTACATTAAAACAAATTAAAAACAAGAAAGGGACTGGATGCGCTTTCCTTCTTGATTTAAGTTCAGAAAGTAAGAGAGCTTAACCTAAGCACATCTAATCCTGGACATTTTGGGTAAAGTATTGAGGAATACTTCCACTCTGCCTCCCACCAGTTCCCCTCTCAGCTTCCAGGGCTCTGCCCATTAAGGAGCTTCTGACCCTGCAGGCTGTCTCATCTTTGTGTTTAATATCCCTTGACTGATGTTTCCTCCTATGTCTCTGTTTCCAGAACTCTAATATTTTCAGCATCTATAACACTCTGTGGCAAGGAGTTTCACTAGTTACTAGCTATAGGAAAAAAAAATATTTAATCTTATTTGTTTTGAACCTGTTTTCTGATCATTTAAGTTGGTATTAACTTCATGAGAACTAGCAGATACAAATAAAAGGTTAAAAACACCACCCAGAAAACAGGAGGCTTGCACATCAAATCTGCAAAGAGCAAACTTTGGGAACCACACATTCCTCTTCTTACATATACTTGCCTCTTCAATTAATTAATCAATCATCCTCCTGCCACTCCGTTGTATAACTTCTCTCAGAAATTTCTATTCCAAATTGAAGTATCCCCTTTCATAATGTCTGACTTTGTTAAGGGACTTTATCCAAGTTGATTTGGTTTACCAATATACTTTATCACCGGCGCCAGCTGCACATATAATTTTCATAAATTCTTTCAAAAATTCTATTTTTTATATAGTTTGCATATCTTGTGATAAGCCAAAAGCACTCATGATTAATGACAGACCCAGCAGAAACCCTAAAACAAGCTAGGAAAATGTAACCTGGAATGTTAAGGTTGATTTGGCTGCATTCACAGTTAAAAGGAAAAAAATTACTATTTTAATAACAAAATGTAACTCAGAAACTCACAGTTTTGCATATGTTGTTAAATTTAGTTAATAACAAAATAATCAGTTCATACAGTCAAAAGAGACATTTTTGAGAACATGTCCAAAGACAATTTCAATGTAAAAAGGGTCATGTGTAGTTGTTAATTTTCTGCCAGTACTTGAGTGTGAGTGATATAATTTAAAAGCTTGAATGTGCCATATTTTTAGAATCACTGGGCTTCTCACCCTCCTAAAACAAGTTTTGTAAAGCAATGAGTGAAGTAAATAATTTTATATAGTCTGTAAAGTCTTATTCTAATACTGTGACAGAAATAGCAGCATAGTGAAACCAGTAGATTTTTAGAAATAAAATAGGAGGGTGGTGGAAAGTGTTCTATTATTTTCTCCTGTAAGCGGAAGTCCAAAATCAAGTTTACTTAAAGAAAGAAAGAGAGAAAGGGAGAAAAAACATGACTCTTGTCTGCGTGAAAAAGAGAATCTTTGCCAAGTAACCTTTATAGGCTTTCATATAGCTTAGACTAGACTGATTTGATTGTTATGTCTAGGGATTCAGCCTGGGGAGAAAATAGAGAAAATGAAAGCATCCTTATTGATTAATCTATCTCCTTTTGTCTTTTGATTTAGAGGTTCAGTTTCAGAGTCTGTCTGGGATATATAAGGCATTTCAGAGAAGACTGCCTTGGTGAAGGTGAGCTGACAGCTGAGAAGTATTTTTGAAATGCACATAGCTGAGAAATGGAACAGACATTGATCTGCACTTAAAGGACATTATGTTCACTGGTTTATAGAGCAAAGAAGTTGGTCTTTAGGTCTGAACGGTTTATTACAGTACTATAAGTCAAAACAGTGGCAAGGCAAACAGTGACAAGGGTCTTACCTGATTTGTAAATTCAAGTATAAATTTAAACTTAAATAATCTTAAATTATGACAACATATTATCCAGATTACACAAAAACTCAGCAAATAGCTCATTATCTCAAAAACCAGTATGTTAAATACCACTGTTAGGTAAAGCTGTGTCCCTTGGCATTGCGCTAAGGCAATGTATTTCTGATTTAGTTATTGATATGTCAATTCTTTTATAAAACTGAAAAAAAACCCCTTTGAGTCCACAAGAAACTTTGGTGATGGAATGTTATTCTTCAAAAATCATGACTATCAGTAAGGCTGAGTGTTCAGAGATATTAATTCATGTGAAACGCTTCATTATGCAAGAACCCACAATGTAAATAGTAATGCTATCTACAAAAGTACCTAGAAATTCAGTATTATATGTTCTTAGTATAGTTTCAGCTGATGGTCAGATGAATTGATCAACTGCACCTACAAGAAACTTCGTTTCCTCAAGGCAATCTTGCAGCGTGAAGCCTGGGATTGGCGTGCCTCTCGTCTCACTGAGCTGCCAGGCAGACAGTCTCCAAGAGCAGCAGCTGAGAATACCCACATTCACATTAGGCATCAAAAACAAAGCAATGCCGCAGCTGAGCAGAATTTTTACAGAAGAGATCAGACTGCTAGTGTTCAGGGAAATTATGTTAAACAATCTCCAGATAAAGCCTTCTACTAGGATATTTTTTTAGTCATACAAAACCTAAATCATGCTTTTCTACCTTCTGCCTGAACAGAACAGAGAAGTGTTTTGTCTTACAGCACTCAGATATCAAGACATTAAATAGCTCTTAGAAGAGACTCATAACGTGTCAAGGCATTGTAGGATTCTGTTCACCTGCAAAATTTAAATTGGGAGATAAAGTAAAATACTCGATCTAATGTTCACAGTGGCCTTTGCTGAGCATGTGTTCATATAGTTAACAACTATATCATATTGCTCATGCACAAAAAGACAGATTCGGTGTTGTGCAGGCATAATAGTAAAATTCAAGAGAAATTAATAAAAAGTTGTTTTCTTTCTTCCACAGGATCATTCTGTCACATTTGTGCAATAGAATATTCTCTCTCAGCTTCCACTGAAAAATCTCACCCCTGTGTCTCACCTCTATGTGCAGAAGCTTACTTGTGTGTATTTTTTTCCTTTTTTGTTCCACTTTATTAATTCCAAAACAGTAAAGAAAGTAAGAAAAAATCAAAGATCTCTCAGAATTATATCTTATATATAGATTTTCTTAAAGCATTGTTTTCTCCAAAAATTCAAGTATGGATTTTTTTCCCTTACACACTGCTCTAAGCCTATTCCTCCCATGTGCCTTCTTAGGCTCACTTTGAACTCATGTTTTCTTTTTTCAGTTCTGACCTGTTATGTCTTCTCTTTTCTCTCAGTACTGTCTTTTCTGGAATGGTCTAAGGCTCATTGGAATTGGAGGGTTGGAACAACAATATGGTACGGGTAGTCCTAGAAAAAGCTACTCAGCATAAAACATAAGGGAATGGTCAATACCTAACAATGAATGTGCAACCACTGTGTGCCACCTAACAATGAATGACTACAATGAATCAAAAAGACTTGATATTGGAAGAAAAGATAATTTGCCTTTTACTATCCTGACACAAAATATTAAGAACATGTTAGAGGTCTTCAAAATTGCATAGACACATCTGTATCAGCTGTAATTCTCATAATATAAAGCTAGAGATGCCAGTTTTATTCACAGAAGACTGCCTGTCAATCTCAATTAAATATACAGAACTCTCTTCAGTGAGGCAGTATTTCTAATAGCTGCATTTTCCAGTATAACTGCACTTAGGAGTTGCTAAAATAGCTACTGTAAGCGTCTGAGTAAAGATATGAACCAAATTTTTTCTGGACTTTGAGCTACTTACATAAACTACTGATGAAAAGGAACCCAAATTAAAAGGGTCTATATGAGATTCATACCAGGGCCAACATCAAATATTAGTGCTTTTTTTTTTCTCTCTAGATGACTTGGAGTAGCAACCGTTTCACATTGGCTGTGAACTGCACTGCAGTTACAACTTCTGTTACCTAGAGAAATCAGGCTGTCTGCCTTCACCCTCTGTTTAACATAGAGCCTGCATTCGATGTGATTTCCTCCACAAACACCAGCCTAGACATATCACTAGAATATAAATGATTAGGCCTGTAAGTGAAAAATTTCATGTTCAATTACCTGTCCCATTTTTTTGGTAATTCTTTTTCTACCCTCTAGGTCTGATTCATCCTTCAGTTATACTCATGTAAATAATGAAAAGCTTTACCAAGTTAAAGGAGTTACAATCAGTGAAAAAATGTCTTAAGTGAGAATAAAAATAAGCCTCCTTGTTTTGAATTTGGGGATCTCTGAAGGTAACGACACAGAGAGAAAGATTGCTTTGTACTTCACTTACTTTAGACTCACTTAATTGATATCAGACTATAAAAATGGCTCTCAAAACCTGCCAAACTCCAGTTACTTTATATATGAAATTCTTACTTTTGAGGAGCAATAAAACCTGATATATTTAAAAGCCTAATCCTTTAACAATTTTCATAAAGCACAAATCACAAATGACTTCTATAAAAACCTACTAAATGTAGTGAGTAATAGCACAATCTAAAGAACAGCATCAACAGTTCTAAAATCCTGGTTTTTATTATTCAACTTATAAAGACATACTAGACTGTGAATAAACTCATTTTGTATAATTATTTAGTACAGTAATGCTATAATCAGATTTTATGTAAATATGTATTATAAATCACTGGAAATTTCAATATATGATAGCTAGATAATAACTCCATGAAATATAAAAAATGCAAGTGTCATTAAAGATTTTGCTCAATCATTATTAAAGTAAGAAGAGTTAAGTACTTGCACGGGAACTTTTCTGTTTTGGCAAGGATGAGCATTTTACTGACATAAGGATGCAAAGAACAACTTGAATGTCTGGAATATTTCCTTGGCCAATGTAAATCAAAGGATCTCCATTGACTTCAAAAGAATGTGTGAATTTACATTACTTGGAGAGCTGTCTATTTGTTCATACTTTTAGATTAAATGTCATTACTATTATTAGGAAAAGGTCAAATCAAGTGTCTATGTTACAAAAAAAAAAAAAAAAAAGTCTAAACAACCATGCGAGGATAAAATGCATGTTAATGAAAAGTGTACTTCTTGTACCACTCAAAGTTTTCACTTTCAGAACTGGGCACCTGAAACTTTGTTCTTAACAAATGTTCCTATTGAGTGCTTCTTCAGAGAATAAGACAAACATTTTTTTCATTTTGAAAAAAAATATGTAATTGTTCTGGTTGTGATTTTAATGCAGCTGCCTTGTTGCTGCTCTCATGGCAGTCTTTTGGTGTGTGGAACCCTTTAAAGCTATTCTGATAGATTTGTATAATCACAGCAGAACTCCATGGAAAAAATATTTACCTAATAAGTACAGAACAGATGTGTAAATTAATTTAGACATCTGGAGTCCATGGTCAGTTCTTAACTCTATCACTTTTTTTTTTTTTTAAGTGCTAATAAATGTCACAAAATCTTCGTTGTGCTGTTACTTAACCACTGTGTGCCAGCATTCCTACTGAAAAGCCTCAATAGTGAAGGTATTCAAACCACTTAACTTTGGCAAATAATTTGAGTCTAAGTAGAAGGTCTGATGATGAAAGAAGAGCCTCCAGGGAGTTATTCAGAGTATTTAGGTTAGGAATTTTAGCACTGCCCAAATAGTCTTAATCCTTTCCATAATGACCACATTTCTGTCATTGGGTAGGAACAAATTTGCCTGCGTCAGAACGCTACTCAACACTTCCATTGACTTCATTTCTAAATGAGGAGCCACAAAATAGCTCCTTGCTGTAAAGGACCCTAATCTGGTTAAAGAAGCCTAAGCATGCAAGTTCCAACCTCTCAACTGTTCTGGAAAGCTCAGGGCATATAATGTTACCCTGAGATATGATAGAGCCAGCAAGTCTTTTTTTTTTGGTGACTTGAATACAAGTTTTGAATACGCCTCCTAAGAGTATCCACTACCAATAAGTTGACTGACTAGGTGTTCAACAGTATAAATCTGTTCCATCTAAAATACTCATCATAGCAGAAAACGTGTTGTCCAGCACTTTTAGCAGCATGGATTAGATTGATTATTATGGTGGTGTTACCCTAGTGAGCACATAGAACTCCCTTCTGAATCTAAACTGATTTTTTTTAGCAGCATACCAGATAAACTCCCTGCATTTGCTACTGAGAAGAACACGTGAGGGAAGGTTGCTCTTATTACCTCTCACAATAAGCAGCAGTAAAGCTATTACATTTGTTTTAGAAATGTAATATGCATTCTAATAAAAAGACTTTATCATAGCTTCCCAATTTCTTCTTCATCAAACCCATCTCTTCTGTCTGTTGCTTAGGTAAAGAGGAGCATCCACGTGTCATATGTCTGGTTGTACTGAAGCTCCTGCAGTTTCCACGTGTCTTCCACAGAGGACTGAAGTAATTAGGTACACATCACGTGCTGCCACTAAATCCTAAAAAAGCCAGGTTCTGCTTGACAGCAGGCTTTACTGAAACCTCGGGTTTAAAGTGACCTACTATGTAAAGTCACCAACTAATAACACTTACAATTATATTTATAAACAACGCAGTGCATATGATCACAGTGGCTAAACAGCTTCTAAATGGGCTATGCACAAAGCTTTTATGGGACTCCATCGATGGATGGATAACTCATGGGATCATCTGCATAGGATTTAGAAAACCTGAAAGGACACAGAACAAGTTGTTCAGATGTAAAGACTGATTCCTGCAGCCTTCAGTCTATGTTCTCACCTGACTTTAGTGGAAGTTTTAGAACAGTGATAACTCAGAACCCTCATTGTATTGTGCCCATATAATCTACATTCATTAGCTCATTTCAAATACTGCGCTTTGAACAGAGAGAAGTGACAGCACATCTGATTAATCACAGAGGGGCCAGTCTGTCAGATTATCTAAAAGAAATTATTATGTCTTTAAACATATACCTAATTTGCTTGCTTTGGGCTGCGGGTTGTTGTTGAGACAGTGTGAAAATGAGGGAGTATTAGAAAGAAAAGTGTAAGAAAGAGGCCCATTTAACATAATTAAATATGATTTTCCCATGGACATTGTAGGAGGAGAAATTAAAAACAATCCTGTTTTACAGACATATTTAGAGAACTTAGCAAGTTCTGGAATTTTGAATATATAAAAATATATTAAAAAAGGACAAAAAAATTATTATGATTACTGACAAAAAAAAGTTTGTGTTTTGGTTTTGGTTTTTTACCAGATGTATGCTGGTATCCAAGGCATCTACATATATGGCAGACGATCTACAGGGAACCTGTACTGTTCTGGAATAACATCTGAAAGCAAAGTGACAACTAACTAAAATGGAATTAAACATTTATGCTGAGGTATCTGAATCACCCTCTTCTTTATGAAGTGTTTACAAAGAAGATGCAATTTAGGAGCCAGAATTAGGTACCCTGAACCCTGCACAATATGATACAAACTCCAGATTTTATATATCAGATATTGTATTGAGATTCTAAGTTGTCTGAAAATTTTTCACTAGAAAGTGAATTGTTATTTACAGCCAGGGGTTGGAGAAGCCATGCAGAATTTTGTTTTGTTTACTCTTTTTCATTAACTGTGTGTAACCAAACATTCAAACAACTTACCCTCCCAGCATAATGCATAACAGTGAAGGTGGAGCCCTGATCCTTTGGGGCAAGGTTACCGTTTCCATCTTTTGTGGAGGAATATACTGTATTGGTATCTGATGTATCCAGGTAAGACTGAACGCGTTTAGACAGACTCTGTTCCACTGACCAAATAGATTGGCTTTCTTCATCCAGCATTGACAAAAAGCCTGATGGTTTCTGAAATGAAAAATAGATTTTTCTTGTTTTATACGGGGGAAATAGAATTTCAGTTGGTCCTTGTAGAGTAACACAACTTGTAATTTAGTAAACAGAAACATGTATCAGCTCAAAGAAAAGGAAAAAAATTGTTAAAATATTCTGATAAGTCTCCAAGGCTATGCTCATCAGATAATTCTGCAAGGAACAGAGGAAATACTATTTCATTTGCCAAAAATGGTAACTATTTACGATCTTTTAGGAAAATGATTGGGCTACTTCCTTCTTAGTAGTCCAGAACCTAGCTAAAGGCACAAAAGAAACTGAGGCTTACAACAGAGACTCATCAGTCCTACAGCTGCATTAAGGACATGGCATGATATACAGATGCTACACATAAATCAGAATGAGCAAAGAGTTTCTGTTACATCTTCTTGAATCCTGGACTGTTACAAATCTCTGTTAGCCCTCGATCTATGAGGGCAGTTATGACAGCTCTCTCTATGGTCGCTTTGGACCCATAACCTTCTCTACAGATTCATAAATCAGAAAATGCAGGCAAAAGTCTGTATTAGTCTAACATGCAGAGATTTTGCATAAATATACATAGTGTAAAATGGATCTGTAAACTACCTGAAAGAAAAAATCCAAGACTGCGGTATGGTTACCAGGAGAATACATCGTTTCCATGGTAACTCCCTCTTGTACACATTCTGCTTGCTCTTGTAGGAAAAGCACTTCATTGATGTACTGATGTATCTTCTCATTGGTCATGTTGACACACAGCTATTGTAAAACCAAGAAAAAATTAGAAGTTTACTGCATAATTTATTGGTGTAGCTTTTACTGCATGTCTAATACTAAATTTGACAAAATGTCAATCCATATAGCATGTTATCTCTCAGTAGGCCGTAGATTAGCAAGACCCTTGGGAAATTTATATTTTAACAGCTATTAGTATTAAATTGGGAATAAACAGTTTCTTGCCTGCACAGTTCATTGTGAATTCCATATAAGAATTATCAAATACAAGCATAATCAAATAAAGTGCAAATTTACACTGATTCCATTGATTGAAATGGGGTAACTCTATGTATAAAACGGTACACTTAATATTATTCTGCAGTTTATATTCAGAAAGACTACACAGATGTAATTTGCTTTTAGAAAAAACAACTACGTATTTGGTTAAGATCCTGACTCTGCAGTTAGTTCAGTGTTAATAAAGATATTAAACTCTGCTTTCACATACAACATCACTGAAGCCTAATGCAGTGTCTGAAGAACTCATTGAGTTTTTCCCAAATATATGATATAAAACACCTAGGGACCTTTTACTAGATGTGTCACTCCATCTTATTTATATTCTAAGGGAAGGTTGGCAAGAAAATTGTCTGAAATAGAAAAGTTCAGAATTTGGAGAGATGATATAAAATTCTCTTAAATATTTTATTTGATTACCTTATAAAAGGTGTAGTACCACTTTTACAAAATAAATAGTTTAACAGGAATCTGATTTTCAATTAAAAACAGGTGGGAGTTGTATCAGCTTATTTTGGGACCTTTTGCATTTTATTCAAAGCTCACGATCTGCAAAAAGATAAATGTTTAATAATACTTGCATGCAATCTCTTTTCAGACTAAACTATTCACATATTTGTTTTGGCCATAAATGGTATCTCCCATGAATAAAGTGTGTAAAAGAAATTCCACCAGCAAGTCATATTAAAAAATATGAAATATTTAGATCAATCCTAAAACTACATGGCTTAACCTCCAGATGAGGGAAAAGAACCCAAGTAATGTGTTGCCTGATTTTTCCATTAACACCTCATGTTACTATAGTCAACTTGCACTTACTATACAGTGAAATAGATTAGTGTGAATAACAGTAAGAAAAAATAATACAAAGCCCCATTTTATAACCAAATGCCTGGTATTAACTGTCTTTACCAATGCATGATAGTGCAGACAAGACAGCCTCAAATAAAACCACTATTTTTTAAAAGTGGAATTTCTAAAGGTTCAGTTTTTTATCTCATTTTATTAACACTGAAAATACACAATTGTCTTACACTATCTATTTATTTTACGGAAAAGACAATTTCTTCAACTTGGTGGCAGGCAAAATATGCTTTACTGATCATTTTTTGAAATCTAATTCCCCAAACTTTTCAGAAGCTTCTTAAAATTATTTTAGAAGGCAGACATAACATTGGAAACTTATACCTCACAGGATATGTAAAGCCTTAAAATGATGCATGCTGTATATATCTTTATTTGCAAATAAGTTATTTAGAGAACCATGTCGTTTAACTTTACACAGGTATATTTTACCATAAAAAAAGCTGACAAAATCACTATGAATTCAAGCTTACTTTTTATCATGTGACAATCACCTAAAGTACATAAAAACAATAAATGTACCTGAGGACCTGACTGTGCAGTAAAAGTATTAAACTACAGAATTTGAGCCAAAGGGAAAGACTGTCTTAGTCATATCTTTAGAAGGTCTGATACATTGGCTTTAACTGCCAAAAGTAAAAGGCATAGTATTTTGTTAAAATATTAATAGACAACATGATGGGCTGTTAAAAAAATAATTAAAAATAACCCCCAAACATTTATAAATTCTACTGATCAGTCTATTATGGCGCACACTGGTGTGCTTTTTAGCAATATAAGCAATACTGCCATTCAGATTGGCAGACTTGCCATAATGACAGTAAGGTTCTGCAAACCAGACCAGAAAGCAAACTAAAGCACTTATACAAACTGCAAGCTGCTCCAAAGCGGCTCTTTCTAGCAGTGGCTGCAATTAACAACTCTGCAGAATGAGTACCAGGAGAACAACCAGGGACTGCTGAAAAGCAAGTCATTCTGATAATATCTTTATCCATTTTAATGTTTATACAGCCTGCTGGGAAAAGGTAGTAAGATGAACACCTCAAATTAAAAGCTTGACACAGGTTGACATAATAATTAAAACAGCTGAAATATAGATATCAGATGAAAATGAACTCAACTAGCTTTGCTAACCTAACTTCTTTTGCTCCATGTCACATGAAGTATTATATAAAACAATTCCATATTTTCTGTCCAAAGATATGAAAAGTCCAGAAAACTACATTTTTTAAACATTTATTTAATTGCATCCATTAAAATTAGATGGAAATACAATAGTAATGAAAGAAAACACAACAATTGTTTTGCCTAAAACAAATGTTTTGGGAATACCTTTAAGCATTGTATATTTGCTTTACCTTGCAGCATTACTCAACATTACTCAGCATTACTCAACATCTGGAACACAGGAGGTTCCGCTTAAACTTGAGAAAAAACTACTTTACAGTGAGGGTGACAGAGCACTGGAACAGGCTGCCCAGGGAGGCTGTGGAGTCTCCTTCTCTGGAGATATTCAAGACCCGCCTGGACGCCTTCCTGTGTAATTTCGTTTAGGTTCCTGCTCCGGCAGGGGGATTGGACTAGATGATCTTTCGAGGTCCCTTCCAATCCCTAACATTCTGTGATTCTGTGATTACCTACAGTACTTTTTTTAGGAAACCTAAGAAAACTGAAAACTAACATTGAAAGCTACCATTGCTGTTTATGGTAGAGCACTCATATTTCCTGAAACGATCACAAAATGAAGGCCATTTCTTTATAGAGTAGGACAGACAAATCTGTGCTCTTCTGACCATGTTCCAGCAGGGCTGTACACAAAGCTGTTCTGGCACAGCAGGTATGCAGCTGCTCTAAGAAAATGCTGTTCCCAAGCTAATGATCACTGCTAGGAAGTGATTGGAAAGTGTAATTGGGGTGAGCTAAAAGTGTACTGTAGTCATTTACCATAGCTCAGCTGATGAACAGTAACTCACGGAGTCCTGATAATTCAGAAGCTTTCAGTCTTTATTGAGCAATGACTCCCTCAGACTATGGCTTCTAAAAACACTGTCTCGTCTTTCAGCTTTTAAATTACATACCAAAAACCACAACTCCACCCACTATTGCTTATTCCATACACTTATTTGCTATTTTTTTTAGAATTACATGTCCTATTTTTGCTATTATACATATAATGTATCACATGTATGTTCTATAAAATGAAGGCATACCAATTCTTGCCAAGCACAGAGAAAAACGAACATTTAATTAATACTGTTTTTAACTTCTAATGTCACCTTTTTTTGAATTCTCTATAAAACTTTTCTCCTTGCAAGCTGTTGGCCACATCATTTTGCATGCAGATGTTACCAGATTCTTGGTGTAGACATAATTAACCTTACTTTTCTAGTTCTTTGACATCTATGGTTTTGAGCATTGTTCATGAACCATTCCTAGACCAATTCTTTATTTGCCTTTGACATTTCAATAGCCTTTGTTATTCCAACACACTCACTGGAGTGAACAAGTTATTCTACCTGGTTTATCCAGCTCTCTCTTCCTGAACCATCTTCAAACACTAGTCTATTAAAATGAATTGCTTAAATTGACATGTGATTTAGTATTATATTGCTCTCTTAATTATGACATTAAACTGTCTATCAACTGATCTGATTTGAAGCACCAGAAAGATTCACATAGCTGCTTGGAATGTCCCCAGATCTGAGCAATCAGGAGGTTTTAATCTTTCTTGAAAACAGTTTTAATTTTATTTTTTTCAAGAAAGCAGGCACACAGATATCAAAAGGAATGCCTTGTCTTACAATGATTTGAAACAAAAGGTTCATTTTCCCCAATTTCCTTTTGTAATGCCATTTTAAAAAATGTTAATCTAAATGTGATGAAAAAGTAATTTTTATGGCTCCTCCACTGTTTGGCTGTAACATTTAATGTTAACATTTGGCAACCACAGGCCTTGACACTGGCCATGTTTGCAGACATGATGCAATGTTTTGCATGAGGACCCTATCTGGGCTAACAAGCCTGTTTATCATCAGGGTTAACAAGCCCAGGCAGAATACTGACCTAGGCTAGACTGTAGGCTGTTTTGGGTAGGTCTGCATGATTACATGGTGCCATGTGGAGATACAAACTACTTCTCTTCATTGATACTGTAACCTATCACTTCAGGAATCAGATGTGTTAATCTGTGTGTTATAGAGTTCTTATAAAAATGAACTCTCTAATTCCCTCACCTCTAGTCTATCTTTTCAGGAATGCAGTTCAGTAGTTTCTGAGGTAATGACTCAGAGTATTACTCAGTATTACTCAACAAAATGCACTCAGTCCAGGTGAAGGGAGACTGTACCTCAAAATATATTTGTTTAGAAAAAAAAAAACAAAAAACAAACTTAAATTAAGACTTTGATATTATTATATTTGCTATGCAGAAATCATTACTTTTTACTCATTTTTCCTTTAAGTCTCATATTTTCTCTTTAAGCATCCTCTACAGTCACTAAGCAGAAAATGACTTACCTCAGAAATTGTAATTAATGGTATTTCATTATGTCAGTCGCAGAACTTATATGAGTTTCATGACAAAAAACAATGCAGAACAGAGTCAAAGGAAAATAACCAGTAAGTACCAAGATGCACCCCTCTCTTTTGAGATGCATTTAAAATGCACAGAATACTTCTTCCTTATTAATCAGGAGGTTCTATGAATTTTTTTTTTTTTTGCATATATTCAGTCTGTTAAAATGTTTTCTATTTTTCACTTGCTACTTTCTCCCAAAGTAGACATTCACACTGAGCAAATGACTGTGAATACTGGCACACATCAATAGTCCTTAATCCAGCAAACGTTCAAGCAAGGTAAAACTGTAACAGCAAAAGGAGTTTTGGGAGAGGGGAATTGGAATATGTTTTATCGCATTCTTACATGTTATTTTGAAGGTAGGGATAAGCTCACCCTGTTTGTGCTTTCAAACATTTGGAAACTGGGTAGCAATGTAAACATGCTACACAAACTGAACTAAGTCATAGTAGTCTATGACTTCTATGTCACTATAAAGTTAAGCCATAAAACAATGGCTTGATTGGGATGAAGGGGCAAATTCTGATTTCAAACAATAACAGGTCCTTTGTTGTTGCTGATGCTATCTCTATTCTTTTCTATGCTTTGATTTTCCGTTCTATGCTTTGATTTTTTTCTGCTGCATTACAGAATGAATGAACAACTGAACAATAACTTAGACATCTCTTTCAGCATGTTGTGTAGAGTTGCTAATGCTCTCTGAAATACGTAATTCACAAGAGCTTTGATGTTCAGAGACCAATGTTGAAGGTGGGCAAACAGTTCCATAATTTTCAAAACATGTTTGATATTTAAATGGATTTTTAAGCACTCAGTGAGCTAAAGTTTAATTTATTTTCCATGGATGTAATTCAATTTTTTTAAAAGTCACATGCTGTAAAGTCACACAGAGGTGACCCTGCCAGTAATGGCACTTAGCATAATGTAGCATTTTCATTCTAGTTTTTCTCCAAGGCATCTGAAGACCTTTCGATCTTTCTTCCAATCCAGTGTATTGTCCTCCTACTCACTGACCTACTTGAAGTATTACTTCCACAAGTGTGAAAACAGACAACAGTATTTTCCTCAGATTGTCTTTCAGTGCTCATACTACCCCTCTTACAAATCAGATGTTTACTAGATTCTTTTAAAATGATGAGTAACTGTATAAAGCCCAGGTTTTAATTCCCACCTATATAAGCAAAATGGGGAAAAACTTATTTTAAGAGCAAATGTATGTTTATATTCTGATGAAAACAATCATTTCAGCTAAAACCCAAAACTTTAATAGAAGAATTAACAGTTACAATTACAGTAAATTCAGCAAAACATAGCCACTTACCTGTTCAAAAGTATTCTTTTGAAATTCTTCAAACCCAAAAATATCCAGTACTCCAATTTCAAACACCTGGTCACTGGGAAAAATAGATATTACATATAATAAGAATTCAAGCAAGTGAATAATATATCTGTTGTTTCTGACAAAAGTATTTCTGTTCTAGGACAAAAATAGGCTGTATTTCAAAAATATGGTACGAAATACAAAAGCAGACCATGTATACAACTGAATCAAAATCCTACCCACCAACCTATTATAGTGAGCATAAATAAAAAAGCAGGGTTCAAGATTGTTTTAGCAGCAACTTTAAAAATGAAATCTGCAAGAAAAGGAAAAAAATCATAGCTTCTTTAAAATTCAGTTTCTAAAGGTACAAGTATTTATTTGCTCAGATGAAGGATAGCCATTTAGGGGAAGTTTCAAAATCGCTTGGTTGCACTCAGTTACCCCTTCGAGTTTATATTTCTTTGACAGCCAGAACTGCTCCCACTAAATGTACTTCAAGGGAAACCTGTTAAGCCAAAGTCTTCTCTGTGCCAGCATCAAGTAGAGGCTGTAAGCTCAGGCTGCACAAGAGGTTACATCTCCCAGGGAAAAGAACAGTCACGATTTGGGCATGAAGACAGATGTTTCTTCTGTGTGTATATAAAAGAATACTTGTTGGCAGTGCATCTAATTTGTCATGTGCCACTGCTTGCATTCAGGAAAGGGCTTTTATTTTGGCCCAGTGGAAGGATTAAGGTAGAGCAGTCACCTAGGAATTGGACAGGAAAAATGGGAAAGGGACAGAGGTGTTGTTATTCTGTACTTACTTGGGACTAAGTGACTGTAAACCTGATCTGGAGAAGAAACTAAGTTCACTACAGGGAGCAAAATTAATGTTTTGGGATATCCTGTTGCCTGCTTTGAAAGAATTTGGGAACTCTGTATGAAAGGGCTGGACTCACTGAAGCTGGGCTTTTTCTTTATTTTTTTCGCTGTATCATTAGACAGAGAACACAAGAAGAGAGTTATAGTAAAAAAAAATTGTTGCGGTTTGCCTGTGTGAATGCAGTGGGACTTTTTCCAGAGTGAAGAGATCTGTCAGGAGGATGAAAGACTTTGCACAATAGCCAGGGGCCCTCTGGAATATGAAAAATCAGCAAAGGAAAAATCATTCAGCTTCCTAAGAAAGGAGATGGATACTTTCTAAAGTGGATGATTTTTTCTTTCTCTTTGCCAATATAATCTGTAAATGTATGGAGTTATAGGAATACAAATAATATTGCAGCCTGCTGTTTCTGAAATCTACTTTTCTTTCCACATATTTCCCCTGTGTTCCATGATTCTAAATCTACATGTATACCAGGATATAGACATAAGGGAGAAAAAAAGTGATCTACTGTTGAAGTACTTTTTAGTATACTTCTATTACAGTCATTGTAAACACTATCATTTAACTAGGTGAGGATCCAGCCCTGAAAATAAATTCCCATATAACAAACAAAAAAAGTAAAATAATTGAAAAATGAGTACTACAAAACAAGCTAGGAAAAACAATCCTCAAGGACAAGCCTGCAGCTGAGCAGAGCCTTCTTCAGAATTCATACCTGAGAAGTTTGTCTTAATTTCTAAGGCATACTAGTTCAGTGCACTACTGATCATCACAAGACTGGCTATGTGCATAAATGTCAGACAGAGAGAGCTGTATAATAAATCTAGTCTAAAATGACTTTGTTGGGCAGGAGAGGTTATTGTGAGGTCGATTAGCCTCCAAGGGAATTTCTACAACAAGAAGAATAAAGATATATCACCACCCCCATCTCTAGCAATGAATGCAATTTGATTTGTGTTTTAAAATGTAAGCCTCATTCTCAAGTGTTCCTGATTAGACATGGGTGTACATTCCTTGTCACGATGTATTTTCAACAAAACCAGTCCATTTCTATAAAGAAGAATTAGACATTTTGAAAACAAACTACCTCAGACTAATATTGAAAAGCCAGAACTATTATGGTATTTAAATATGTTTTGGGAAAAGAAAAAAAAAAAAAAAAAGTAGTTTGAAATTTCAGAAAACTCAATAAGTTCTAATTCTTATTTTATTATTTTGTCATTTATCTATAGCCTTCCTTATAGGAAGACAAAACATGATCTGCTATCTAATACTGCACAACAGCTGAAATATTGCACTATATTTCACAATTATTAAGAGCTACTTAACACAGATGGAACAGCTTATCCCTTCTCTGTCAGATTCAATGAATAGATTTGAGGCTGGATTGCTTACATCCCAGTTAAGTGCTATGACTGTTATTTTGTCAAATTAGTCTCTCTTACTTTTTCTCAAGGAATATATAAACACTTGCATAAGGAAAAGACCTAAACAAACTGACGTAATGAATTATTACAAATCAGGCAAAACAGGAACCGGGCCCTAGTTTCTAAAACCGCAGGTAAAACTTTTAGCAGCCAGCCTATTGCCTATCTCAAATAACATTCCTTATCAAAACTATGATATTTCCAAGAAATATCTTGATTTGTTGTCAGGAAAACATGTCATCTCATTTTTTTTTTTTTTTATGAACTCCACCTGATGTTCTTGGCCTTGTATTATTAGAAGATGCAGACACTACATGAAGAGAACTGGAGGTTTTGTGTAACTAATATCTTGCCTACAGGGCAAGTATAACAGAACAAGGCACTGTATCCTCTACAATTGTGACATTTTATTACTACATTGTGGCATTTATTTGCTAATTGTCACCAACTGTGATAGTAATTTTCTGTACTAAATTATTGCCCAGATTTTGAAAATTAAATTGCAACAGATAGCAGAACATAAAAATTAAAAGTGTTGTTTTGCATGTGGCTACAAATTGCTTTGTTTTTTTTCTTCTCATCTTCCTCTGGTTTATACCACTTTTCTTCTCAGAGGGAGGGTCCATGTATGTTTTTTCTTGGCCAGCTGTCAATCATATTAATTCCATCAAAATTAGTCTTCTTAAATTAATCGTAGCAGAGATTCCCAAGGCAAAATAAAGCATGAATGATCCCATGTTTACAAATGAAAGGGTATGTCACCAGTGTCTAAAAGAATAAATATTAGAAAAGAGCACTTTTTGTTCTGAAAACTCCCTTTATTTTACTTTGTTCTTTTATGATTACTAAACATCACTGACACCTTTCATCATTATGATTCAGATATCCAATATTAACTATGTTGAAATAAAACAGCTATAGTTTTAGTGGAGACTGAGACTTTGATTTCAAGTTGGACAATATTTCCTAGTATAGAAATTAGAAAATGGCAATTTGCCAACATTTGAAGAACATTTTTATATCTTAGATCAGTACGTAGCTGTGAATAGTTAGAATGAGGCATGGATGTTAACTATAACTCATTTGGTTTTTGTGATCTACAAAACAACATTTTGACTGATAGTATTTTACAATGTCTCCAGTTTTGCCTTTTTCTGCCTTTTTCCTCATAATGACATCCCTGTAAATATGTCCTTATAGATTAGAAATACCTTTGATCTTGTACACTTGACAACTGCGTTATAAAGAAACTACATAAAAATTCTTGGCAACTCCAAAAACAATACACATACACTAGACATCCTGTATGATGATCTACTGTCTTGGCAGACATCTTGTCTTTCATCCAGAGATGCTCTTGACCCATTTGCTATTCCTGGCAAGGTGAACAGAATTCCCTTCACAATACTCCTGACCCAGTGCTTCAAACAAACCTACAGGATGTTATTTGATCACTCTTTTTTTCAGCCCAGATGGTTTTCAGCTCTGAAATCCATAGGGTTCAATCCCATTGTAAATTTTTGTAATCTGCCTATATAAAGCAGTGTGGTGAATCTGTTGAGGTAGGATGATCTAACGTGCCTTTTCATCTGCCCCAGATGTAACTTTTCTTGCTCTTCCTCCAGCTTCTGCCAGTAACTAGGAAGAAAGCCAGTTGGCTTTTGTCTGATCTGGATAAACTAGAAGTGATACTGATTAATGAGGAAATATTTAGGATTAGTTGAAGTATATAACCTAGCTTTCAAATGAGGACATTCAGAATCCTACTTAAGACTCCCTCAGCTCTCCCAGGGGGACAGATTACACTCGTTGTCATAAATACAGTTCTTGAAGGGAAAAGGCTGAATACTCCCAGTTGGATATCACAGAATCACAGAATCGTAGGGGTTGGAAGGGACCTCAGAAGATCATCTAGTCCAATCCCCCTGAAAAACCCTACACCAGGTCGCACAGGAAAGTGTCCAGGTGGGTTTTGAAAATCTCCAAAGATGGAGACTCCACAACCTCTCTGAGAAGCTTATTCCAGTGCTCTGGCACCCTCACAGTAAAGAAGTTTTTCCTTAGGTTTGTTCAGGCTATCTCTGATCAGTAATGGTCTTCATCTCAAAAAATTACTAAACCAAACTAGTTTCTGAGACTTTTGAGAGAGATTTTTCTGAGATTTTTTAAAGATTTTTAGATTTTTGCTGAGACTTGGTGTCATTGCCACATCTCGCAGTCATCTTACTCAGCTACTGTCTTTTGGTTTTTAATATTACCTTGCCTAGGTGTGAATGGTACAGATAGAGACAGTGGTCAGACTCAACGAAAAGAAACACTAGCTCCATATCTGACAAACATGTTGAGTAACTTGACAGGTATGGCAGGAAGGGAGAAATATAGCAGTAGCATATACTCTTCCCCACCATTTTAAAGCAAAATTTGTTATGTGCTTTAAAAAATGGCTTTATCTTGTTTAATGAAACACTGGAAATGATCCGGACTGAAGCAGATTGCAAAATATGATATTATGTACCATATTGTATTAGATGCTTTGTATTGTTTGACTGTTTTAAAGATTTCCCTACCTCCACATATAGAGACAATGCTCATTATGCTGTGGGTTCATATTCTGAACAGTAGCTGTCTTTCTGTCCTTCCTGCATTCCCAGCACACTTCTACTGGTTTCAATAATAGAAAAATAAACATTTTAGTTTATACTCAGACTTTTTCCTTAAGCTTGGATGATTTCTATTTCATAATATCCCATTCTATAAATTGTATAATGTGTATTAAGAAGTTTGTAAATGAGACTCCTGAGAACTTTCCTTTGCTCAAATAAGTGTTGCCACTGCTACTCTCTGGCAAAATTTGAATTTCACTGGGAAAAAGATTACACAGTCAGAACACACGCTTTCAGAAAACACCGATTTAGAAATATTCTATATGCTCTATCTGAAACAGAAATTTCCTATGGCTGCCTTGCTGATACAGATGGCGGGTATAACTGAATGCTAGCTTTCTCTGCTTGTCTGTAATACAGCAAGCAGATTGGCATTAGCCCCATCTTCAGGCTACGTAAGAGAGAAACTTTGCTAACTAGCTAATAAAACATCCTGCCCCCTACTTACTAGCAGGCAAGGAAGACAGTATCAAGATTTTCTCAAGGGTATATACCTAATTAGCTTGTTTTTCATCAGAAGAGAAAAACAATGTTTCACAAGAGTTCACAGACACTCTTAAATCCCCATAAATGTAAAGTTGTGTTGTAGAATGTGTCAGGAGTTCTTAAAATGTCATCTTAAGATATTTTACCACTAATGTTTGGGTTGCTAGATCCAACTTTGCCAATGTGCAATCAAGTACCTTGAAATGCCACATTTAAGCAACCGTAAATGCTCTATTCTCTTTTATCTACAAAACTGAAAATCAGCATATTTATTTGAATGGAAGTAAAAGAGTAGCAAACTTTGAAGAGTTAAGAGTCTTGAGAAGTTCATCTAGACAATTTACAAAATCAGTAAAATAGGAAATAATTATATAAATGAGTTAATATATATATATTTTTAAATATAAGCACCTGTGAGAAATTTTAGTAGCTTTCCTCTAACCTCATTCTATAGGCTAATTACAGAAAAAGTTTCTCCCCAGTGAATTTCTTTGAAACCGTATCAAGATGAATAAAGTAATAAACCTTAAAGGTACCTTGCAACCAGTTGAAACTAGTATCCAGGGTTGTAATTTAGTTCTAACTAGAAAAAATCATAAGAAACTTTTTTATGAAGGAAAACAACTTTTCTAGAGGTGTATTATCTCACTTAACACTGTCATTAAAACTCTTGCTTTATATTTATTGGACAGCATTATAAAGTAATGAATTTGCTGGGTTGTGGCAACACTTTTAGCCTCTATACTTAATACCTTAAGAGTATTTGCGGCTTTTCACAGAATTGTCTTCCCTTTCTTTAGAACTAATAGTAATCATCACTTTTACCTTGCCTCAAACCAGCTACAGCTATTTCATGGTAAATATGTATGAATATTAATGACCAAATGACCAAAATCGAGTATCTTCACCATAAAAGTTAAACCTGGGTAACTAATTTCCTCAAAAATGCCAAGATAAAATGTTTCTGTTAGAGTTACTAAGCCAATAAATCTAATTTTATTGCTTCATAAATTCTCACTGAAGTGGGATGGATGTAGTTAAGCTATCTCACAACAAAACAAGAGAACTGAGTTAGAAACCTTATTCCGGGTTTCTGATGAAGGCTTCATCCCATCTGATAACTCCTAACTGTGTAAGTTTCCAACTGGGGAATGAAGTGTTACCTGAAATGTATCAGCCTTATTTAGCCACATTAGTTAATGTCTTTGGTGGATCTTTAAGCAAAAGTTTATTAAAACTGCACCAAAATGGAGATACAATGCTGCTAATTTATAGAATTGCTCAGAAGTAAATCTAAATCACAAATCACAGATTCATGCCATGACTTGCATTAATCCAAATTACATCTTGAACTATGATAAGCCTTGATTTACTGCTACAGGTTATATATTATGATTAGGCTGGACCAAACACAGCTGGGGATGGGCAAGGTATCTTTTTATCTTAAACTGGCTAAATCAGGTAAGGTTGAAATAACAATGAAGGACAGTCAACTTCATTTTCACTTAAAATAAGCTATTTATCTTCAAATTCGGAAAGGGACCTGAGGCTAAATTTGGCCTGCTAAAATTTAGTATATCTTGTCAGCACTGACAATATACCCTGAGCTAGTTAGCTTCCTTTTTAGCCAGCCTAAATGAAGAACTCTCCTTTTTCAAGCACAGGTATAATATAAAACTATTGCAAATTCCTCATTCCTGTCAACATCAAACAGCTATCCTGTTTTAGCTAGGATATCACATCGTCTTCAAGTTACCATACAGGTAGAAATAGTTGCACTAAGAAGCATTTCCACAAGGTAGATGTCACCTCAGGCACATATGATTGCACTAAAAAGAGACTACAAGGTAAACAATATACAAACAGCTTTGACTTTCATTATTTGAAGATCCTACGATACCTAGAAATTGTAGGCTTCTATTACTGAACAACAGAGATACACAGCACCCAATGCTGAAAGACTGTGAGAGATCAAATGTCAAAATTGCAAAATTACACATTGAAAAACTATTTTAATATATTTTTAATATACTGATTCTAGATTTCTTCCTCAATGACCACTACAAATGATCTCACTGCAATTAGGAATACCTGAGCTGGACTGTTTGACATAGACATGCACTGAGCTAAGCCTGTTCCGTAAGTCCCAGGAATGAATGGGGAAGAAGTGAATGTGACCACATGCCACTGTCTTTCCTTGTTATAAACACAGTATTTCAAATTAGGACATGGATTGGAAAGTTGCTTTAGCTTGGTTGTCCAGGTGCTTGCAATTGTAAGGGGCTGTACAATCAGAAACAGACAAATAAAACCAGCCTGTGTTACTGGCAAACCTTCCTTTTGCCTCCAGCAGGAAGCTAGGCACTCTGGCAGTATATATAATGGCAGAAAGCTTTTATGCACAGAAAGCTCAGAGTTACTCTGGCATGGTAGCTTTTTCTGTTAGCTAAGTCTATAGAAGAGAAATGTGATTTACTGCTACTAGGTCTACAAATAGGATAGGAATTTAAAAAAATAAAATAAAATAAAATAAAATAAAAAGATTGCGAAGTCTTTAGACTCTTAACAACTCTAGAAAAGGGCACTTGATAAATGTTTTTCCTATGAAGCCAAAGCAGATATGATATAAGGAAAAAGTACTTACTCTTTTTTGGAAGTTCCACATCTGCCTTTTGTGGATTTCCATTTACCAGTAAAGCCAAGACATTTTGTACTAAGAAAGCTCATCTGAACGTGTCAAATGTTGAAACATGATCATATAATTAAGTCTACTGTCTTAGTTTGATACTTTGATTCTATATATTAATTAGCATTCATTTTTTCTAAGAAGCCACACTGGATAGCAACAGCATTGAATTTAGCAGATGATAACCTAGAGACATCCAGAACATTCTTAGAACATACAATTCAGTGAAGTTTAAACATACATTTGAAGGCCTTTGAACAAAATTCTTTTTTTTAATATCCTGTTGCTAAAGTCATAGAAAGAATAAGAATATTCTGTGCTAAAGAAACACCAAGTAGCTTTTTGCTTGTTGAAAGACTTAGCTCATTCTGTACTGTCAGCTCTTAAAAGGCAACTAATTCTAATCATGAATTTAGATTACTGTATAAAGTACCATGTCTCCCTACAGAAGCAAATAAATAAGCATATATGATATCAAGGAAACAATTTGAAGGAATGGGCAATGATTTAAAGATCCAACCATCACTGCCATCCTATCATAAAATGCTTTAAGTGATGGAATTATGTTTCTTTTACAGATCTGGATTTGAACAGATAATGGCACACCTAACAGTTTGCAATGGCACTCCTACCTGCCAGTCTCATCTTGATTTTGAAGGTAGCAGTTGATTGTGTTGACTAAAAAGCTAAATAAACGACCATAAAGAGATTTTGCCAAGAGATCCCGGTAAAATTCTGCAATCTCTATAGTGTGCCTCCGTACAATCATGTCTCCTAAGAGAGAAAGCAGAAAATGGAGATGAAAGCATACTGTAAATCTTGCCTGAAGTAATTTTAGTTACAGTAACTCCTTCCACCCTTTTTGCTTCTCCTTTGCCAAACATATGCATGGTGTTTTCTGAAGCCTTCAGTGAAAGATGAGAAGACTGTCAACACTCACAAGATCTTCAGTTTGGAAACATGTACCTTTGTATTTTTTTTCAATAGAAAAGGGTATGTGTACCACACAAAACTATTATTTTACTGAAAAGAATTTTTCAAAACTTCCCCCCTCCCCGACACTCCTGTTGACTTTAGTTCTTAGTACTAATATCTAATTTGTTATCTTGACACACTTTTGTAAGATTAATCAGACTGTGAAACTGCTTTGCTCCATATTACAAAGACATTTCAAATTCAGTGTCCCAGCCTGACTTATTGCATGGCAGACAATTCCTCAGAGAGAAAATTTACAAGACCATAGAAGAAATAAGAAACAAAAATTAACTGCTTTTTAAATTCCCAAATCAGAAGGATCAAAATGCCACTAGGTCTGATCAAAGAGAATATAAGCTTGGAAAAGATTACCTTTAAAATACTGAACATCAGTTGTTAAGGCTGAAGCAAGTTCATCTGGTGAAACCTGCAGCATCCCTGCCACTGAAATGAAAAGAGAATTTAAAGAAAGCCTCATTTGTGCTCTACTATATATTTCATATTTTATAACAGATTTTCTGATATAGATGCTATTTTTAATAGTGAAAGAAACCACACACTAAAGAAAAGAGTGCTGTCACAGGAGTAATCAAAATTAATGAACATACAAAATCGGATTACTATAATCAGCACTTTGTGAAGTTTGAAAGTATCTGTATATTACATTACAGCTTTCGTTCCTCTCTAAAGACTACTCAGGACTTTCCCCAGGGCTTGGCAGACTTTCTCTCATATTAGAGTTAAAGTATGCTACTTATTGACATTCTGTATCCATAAGCCACTTTGGGGAGATTTGTTAGTGAACAAGAGGGCAAACTTCAAAGCATGAAAACAAGAAACCCTGTTAAGACACAGATTTTGAATATGGGGAATTCAATTCAACGCAAATTGTTGACAAGCAGCACAAGAGTATTTTAAAAGACTGTCGAAAGCACTCTGTACAATTTCTTTTGGCAAATGGAAGAATTAAATATGACATTGAATTAGATAATTTGCAATACTAGTATTTTATTTCATCCCATAAAAACTGCAGTTTATAAAATATCCAAGTCAATTGGACACTGTCTTCCCATAGTAACTTATGAATTTTCAGAAGTCTTTTTTTTTTCTCTCCCTGGAACTGTGTTTCCATCTGTCGGTGGATCAGTGCAAGTACCCTGATCATGATGCTCCAAGGTCATGTCCTACTGACCTTGTTCCAGTAGCTGCAGGTCTGACACGAATGCTGTCTCAGCGTCTGTCAGAGACGTAAAGCGAATGTCTCCAAGATGCAGAATTGCTGAGAGAATTACAAACAGGTTCTCCACCTCCTGCACATATTTTATGCAGAATTAAAGAGAAAGAAGAGATCTGTTGGGCATACCAGTGAAAAGCAAAGCTTTATAAAAATACAAATTCTAGTAGTTTGTGTCATTGGCTTTTGCTAAGTTTAAAAGTACTCATATGTGAACTATTAACAGGAAATTTGGACTTAGAAATCAAAGTGGAACCTATATAGGACATAAAACAAGATTACCTTTTTTTCCCCTTTTGTTTTCATGTAAATCACATTAACTACGGAGTTAAAGTTTTTCAGAATGTGATAAAAAATACTGAAATATCTTTAATAGATGCATTATTTCTGCAAGAAACAAACATATCTTCTCCACAGAGAATTTCCATCAAGACAGTTTCTGCATGTGGGAATACCAAGGTTTGTTTTTTCCTCAGCCAACTGTGTTCACAAAGTCTCTAGTTCTAAATGATAACAGGTTCCTGGTAGTAAAAGCTGTAATTAAGGTCTAAAAGAAACAAAAGCAACTTCCCTTACCCACACACTTTCCCCCTGATTGCATACTATTAATGCTGTGAAGCACTTATCTGAGCCTCACTCTTCCTGGCCTCATTTTTACCACAGCAAGAGAATTAATTTTCTTGATTATTTTTTTAAATGTTTTTAAATTCAAGCAAAAAAAATGATTCTTAAAATATGAACCAAAAATACTAAGACATGGAAAATATTGTGTGATTTTGGATTTTTTTTTTTTTTTTAAGGTCAGTTATATAACAATGGTGAGCCTTTAAAATAATAAATCAGGAAAACTGATATCCCCTATAGCTTTACATGGCATTATGCACAGCAAAGTTAATTGATAATTCTTGAAATATTTTTGAAAAATAATATCTGGAATCTGATTCTACTGAAACACTAGAAGTGACAGTTAGAAGTCTCACTTACTGGAATTTGCAGAATCAGATTAAAAGATATACTACAAATGAAATACTCAGCTGATACATCCCCTATATTCTCAGGTGACTGCACAAATTCAGAACACACTGAAACCAAGCTTGGATGACTTTTCATCAGTTTTCAAAAGCAACAGGACAAAAAAATGCTTTTTTTCTTCTTCTTCTTGTTCCTTCATCTCATAAATATGCCCATCATCAGAGGACATTGACAAAAGCTTACAGTCTTCCTGGGACACAGACTACAGCACCTCCAATGCTATTTAAACAAGTTTGATTCTCTAAACTACATTTTAATACAAGAAATTCAATCTCTTACGGTATGAGATAGATGTAAGTAGGGCAAAAGTATATTTTTCTATTACACAGTACCAAAGCCAAAGATTAAAAAAAGCAATATATATAGGCAAAGTCTGAATAAGACAGCTCTTACAAAAGAACTGTCATGCTAATATGGCATTCAAGCTAGGGTGCTATGCTTTGTTTCTTGAGAAGGCCTCTTGCATAAGATGGAACGGCACTCTAGTACTCCAGTACATACTTCTTGCTTTTTTGTTAGCTTGGTCAGAACTGCTTTGGGGATGACTGTACAGCACTGAATTGAAGCAGGCTGGGATAGCTGTTTATTCTGGTGATTTTGGTAGGGCCTTGGATTTAGTTCACATTTCAGATTCTCAAACACTTTCTCATTGTGCTCTAAGATGAATGCTCCCTTAACTTTAAAACAATATTTTAATAAACATTAACATACTTTGCAACATACAGTTAAAGGCTGCTACAGAAATTTTATGTAGTTCTTCAAAAAGATAATCTCTGCTATCATTAAATGAGCCAGATGATCAAGGAATAATACATACAGACCTTTCCACATATCTCAGAAGTAATGGGTAGAAATTTTAGGAGATGTGTTTTACCTACATATTTCCCTCTAACCTTCAGCACAGGAGATCAGCCTGCAGTACTCTGGAGGTCCACAGATTTCTAGTCTCCTAAATGATTATTCTAACGCTGCCTGGATATTGAGGAGCCTTGAAGATGGTTTATGCTTTTCTGAGAGGCAACCTTCTTCCTTTCAAGAACCCTGAGCAAAATGATGTTAAAGTGCCGGATTCAAAAGAATACTATATGTAAATTGTTCTCAGTTTCTGCAGGCTTCTAAAATGTGATTCATTATGCATGCAATTATTTATTTATGGGATGAATCCCTTCCTCAAGAGAACAGAAAGGTTAATGAAAAAGCTGGAGAGATCCACCCATCCATGAACACTGGGCTAAATGCAGAACTGCCTGGAACTTTTGCTACTGAAGTTTACAGGTGCAGAGCTTGAACCACGAAGAGTAAGGAATAATTCTGTCAAATATAGCTATATGTGTTTAATTTTGTACATGAGCACATGAATATTCATGAAAAAAATTCCATCCTTCTTTATGTTAAAAGGTGGTAGAGGTTACCAAATAACATTTGTTATTACCTTGACTAGGAATGCCAAGCAACTACATGATGTACCATCACCACAGAAGTCTACCTCACATCTAAATAACAGCTTCAGCAAACTCACTTCTTTTTTTTTTTTTTTTTTTCTGATAGCCCCTGATCCCTTTTTATTACAACTGTTGCCCATCTGTCATCTCTTATGTTAATCTAGCACAGTGTTTCATTAACTTTTCTTCTGCTTTTTCTTATGATGCTAAATATCATGTAGGGGTAAATAAGTTTTAACCTTCTTCTAGAACTACTGTTGCTTATGCAATTGTTTTACAGAAGTGTCTCAGCTACAGTGTGCTAGGTAGCATATACATATGTAAGAAATATGGGGACTTTGTTAAATATTCTAGTATCCTGAAGGGAATTACACAGCTGACATGAGTTCTTATACTCAGCCCTCCATTTCTTCTGATTCCCCACACACCTCTGTCCTCCAGAACCTATTCTTGATTAATTTTTCAAATTATCTTCTTCATTAGCTTTATAGGCTTAAAGACAAACATCAGACCTATCTTCTTGTTGCATTTTGGGGGTTAATTCAGCTCTTCCAAGTTACCCAGGTCTAGGTTTTTTTGACTAAATGTGTTTATTTCTTTTCAGGTGCTGTTAGCAAAGGCATTTGGAATGCATGTTTCACAAAATTAAAAGGGACAGGAAGATAACCAGGAAGAAGAAAAAATTCCTGTGGGTTTTATGAGGTTTCTGTCATATGGGATTTGATTGTTTCTTTTTATCTGTTTAATTTAATTGTTCAGAGTATTATACCTTGGAGCTGTTTTGTGAATCTTTAAGAATGAAAAAGATTTACATTGTTGGTGCTGTGTCTAATTAACAGTGATTACAGTAATTTCCCTGGAGTGAACTAGTACTGTATATTGTTTCAAGGTCTTAATCAACATAAAAAAAGAAAGACAGAAAGGCACTTTTTTTCCCCACAAAAGGTTATCAGTGTGAGTTCCTTATGGCCTGCTTTTAACTAAGTTATATGGTTATTTTAGCCACAAATAACATAAGCTTGTATAACTTACCAGGCTATTGAATCCCATAGCACCTAGAGCTTGTTTCAGTATGGCTAATTTCTCCCTGTTTTGAGGGTTGGCTGATAACATTGTCTCTTCCAGTATGGTCTGGCTTAGATACCTGCACAGAGGAAAAACAGCATATATAGTATTTACAATGCTGGAGCACAAACAAACTTCGGAGGTTAAAAGCCAGCTTTGCCCTTCTAACCAGTGATTTATTACAGATTTTTCTCAGCCTTTGGAGCGAACAGTAGTAGTAACAGAATGCTCCGTATTTCTTTCCTTAAGCCTTTGCTTAAGGTTTTCCCCCTGGCTAACTTTAGCTCTACATGTAAGCTAAAACTTAATTTAATTTATACCACTGACAGTTTTGCCATTCTTGCACTACCAGAGATTCCCCTTCCGAAGGAAGATTTGAGGAGACCCTCTGACTTCTTTAAGTTCCCCTTCTGCTGGCTAGGGAACAAAAAAGCTCTTATCTCCCTGATCCCATGATGATCATTCACTCCCTTAGCAGGTGAATGGGTGACACAGGTATACTGAGCAACACTTAGAACAAAGTAGTAACTAAGTATATAGAGTAATCAATGTGCAGCCTTTAAGCTGTACTGCTTTGCACACTGTGAAGCAAAAGGAAATTTTATAAACCTTCCCAAAGACAGTGACTAGAAGAGAGAGAGACACCTAGTGCAGTAGCTAACTCAGGAAAGAAAAAACATAACCAACATGAAGAGTAGTAACACAAAACAGAATATTAAAAATCTATAGTACAACAGACTATTGAAAAGAACAGCAATTTAACCTTTGCAACAGTGTTTTTTGACCCTCTTGAAATATGGCTATGAGGCAGATTTTAAAAAGTATTCAGGTAGCTTCATACAGACAAATTCACTAAGAATAAAGTGTCTGAATATCTTATGGAATCTGATTTTTAATTACATCATGCTGAGAATGCAAAAAGATGTTTTCTTTTATCATTAAGTTATCATTATCATTAAGTTATCGTTATCATTAAAATACACATTCATCACACAATCTACAATCTTCACAAACGTCACTTAAAACAACAAAAGAATTCCCCACACCTAAATCAAAATAGCATCATTACAACAAAGGTGGACAATTTACACACACTCCACCCCTCATCCCTTCACCACAATTACAACAAAAATCCCCCACAATTACTCTGCTCTCTAATAATGTTCAGTCCATGATCTGTCACATAAATATGGGAAACATTAGTGGTTTAATTTCTGACAATTCTTGTTCACAACCCTATTCTAATTGCACTATAGAGAACAGTTTCCAGATAAAACTCCTGTTACCACAGAAAGTTTGGCAGCGCCCTAGTAAGAGTGGTAGTTCTTGTAAAGGTGGCCTTTTATGGGAATGTGAGTAGCTTTTAGAAACATGTGGCAGAACGATTTAGCATTTTTCTAACTGATAATGAGGTTTATGAGGTATAAACAACAAAATGTAGTGAATTTTTAGTGGATATTTAGTGGATTGATACCACATTTACCAGTGCAGATTTCCCTTGAAGTGACAATGGCCTAAGTTACCCCAGCAGGTGGGAAGAGGAAGAATGATGGGGAAAAAAAATGTGTGTCGGTGCATAAGCACTTTTTGCACACACAGGAGAATGCAGTCAGCAGATATCTCAAGCCTCACATCAGTGGCTGAAGCTGGTGAATTAACAGAACCTTTGAGAATGTGGGACTGTGAGCATCACTGCCAGAGCTCTGCACCTTTTCCTTGAGGTTACTAAAAACATGAATTTTGTCCAAACCAGGTAGATACAAATAGCACAGCTGTCAAATTAGCTAGAGCAGATAATACAAAGTATATGCCAGATTTATGGGGTTTTTCTGGGGTTTTTTACATTGCCTGTATGTTTCAAAAGGAGGCTAGAATACATCTGATACTGAATCTGGCATAGAACCTACTGGTATAAAGGTTAATCCAGCAGAAAATTTTCCACTGTTATGAACTGCTGCGTGAGCTTGTACCAGTTCAGTGTTGTGCATCATATGTCGGTGGCATTTTTGATCCATAATGAGGAGACTTAGAGTAGCATCTACTCTGCTGTCAAAATATCCTGTTGTTGAATGGCTGGAAGAGTTGGAAGCTTATGCCCATTTCTGGAAAAAAAAAAAAAAAAAAAAAAAAAAAAGCCTCCATATTGGTGTTCCCCTGAATAACTCTTTAACTCTCTCTCTCTCTGTGTACTGAGCAGGGAATACTTTTTCCTGTCCTGTGAAGAGAATATTGTCTACATCTTGTGCTTAAATAATCCCATTTTAGCATAGTTAAAGTGGTAGAGGGTATTGTCGTAGCGAAAAGGTGTGTGAACACTACCAACAGAGGTAGTGGTACAGCAAAATGACCCAGAACACTCATTCCTTTGGAGAAAAGAGCTGAGCTGTGATATGAACCAACATGCGGCAGTTCTTGCCTTCAGCGCAAGCACTTGCTGATACAACAGGGGCCAAACTGGGCACCTGCCAAATCAGATGCCTGTAGCTCCAGCAACCCGTCCATAAACTGCAGCATCTGCTGGGACATGCCTGTTGGAAGAAAATCTGAGTTTCCCAGTATAAGTCTCCTGAAGATTTAATCAGCAAATGTGCTGGTGCCCTTGGAAAGGGCTGCAGTTGGTCATTTTCTCAGGTCTACTTGAATTTAGAATCAATTTCCCTAGTCTAATAGCAATTAAATTATTTTATAACATGTCATGAGGCCCACCCATTTTCCAAATTATTTAAGGACTAATGAAATGCAAATTTCTTTGAAGATATGCACATTCAAATATGATATGTTTATAACATAAAGTATAAGCCTGTTAAGGATGGATTAATTATATAGACTACTTGGAACTGATGATGGATATTATACAACTCCCTCAAAATGCAGAAAATATACAGTGTAGCAGAGTGGGGTATAATATATACTAGCTGTACAAGGAATCACATTTTTCTAATTATTGTTAAGTTCATTCTACCTCAGAAACACAGTGACATTTAGATAGAAATAAAAACGTGGGGTTTTTTTTGCTTGTAAAACAGTTCCCTGGCATCTCCTTCTTTCTACCTTAAAGGCCCGGAGAATGAAAAGGGCTTGAGACATCCTTTGTATGTTACTCCTAACATCTATTTATGGTCAAGAACCAGAGTCCCAAACCAATTTTAAATAGTCACCTCTCCTATAAAATCAAGGAAAAGGAAAAAAAGGAAAGAGATGTGTCACAGTGCAAAAATCCTAATAACAACAAAACGTTCTTTCATTGTTGATACATCATTATTCCATAAAATGTAAATGTTTTTTCAATATGTACAACTTGCCCCATATTTATAGTGCATTTTTGCCTTTTTTGCCTTTTGACTATGCAGTTCTAATAATTAAATAAATAAATAACTTCTTTCTATTGACTGTCTAATCATTTGTTTAAATACTACCATGTCGACATTTGCATCAAACTAGCACTCTCAACAGACAGCTTATCAGCACACAAAGAAGTTTTAAGGACATGTGATCAGTTACTCTATTTCAAAACAGAAGAAACTTACTGATCCACAAAATGGGGCTCTTTTAAGAAGATACACTAACTGATAATTGTAGTATAGTCACTTTGAGTAAAACACAATGCTGCATTAGACAATTTCTTGAGAAATGTTAAAGAGAGTATCTGCATAGTTTTTTTCTTTCTGATTCTTCTTCTAACAGTTCTAATTTGCAACATTGTAGCATTCTTATCTAGTCTCTTAAGGGAAAAAATACTATTCAGAAGAAAAAAATCAGTGGTGGTAGCTTTTCAGTATAACACTTATAGTATACAGTTTTTAAAGCATCATTCGAATGGCATCATAGATCAAGTTTTCGGATAGGGATGTGACTGATGTGCCCAAGCATATAAACAAATATTTACTATGACATTAAATTCTTTATGTATTAACTGCCCACATAAGTCAACAATTACCTTACCTGTTTACCTTACAATTCTCATTATAATTGTTACATATAATAATAATTTGTATTATTCAACTTATACCTGCAGTGAAGTTTATAATTTCATACATACATAGCAAACATGAAGAAGAAATACATAGGAACAAATGTCAGCTAACTAATACTGAGTTTTCGTGACATATGCCTATTTCAAAATTTCTTACATAATCCTACTGGTTAAAAACCTTCTTTAAAGTAATATCGTCTGCTTAGGTGATTGAGCAAAAAATAAGGAGCTGAGACTAAAAAGAAAAGTTTTGACTCTGTTTGCTGCTCTGCCAAAAACTCAGCAAAGTAAAATTTGATTTGAAGTTCATTTACTTTCTTCTGAACTGCAACCCAGTAACATTTAGTATCAAATGAAGTAATATGCCTTATTCAACATAAATAAAACATGTAATTTAATTTCCTTGCAAGAAAAGCAAAGAAAATAAAAAGTGGGACTCACAAAATTATTAGAGAAGGTGAAAGAGTCTTTTTATTCTCTCTTTCCTACTAGAATTGTTCTGTTTTCATAAAATCTGTGAAGAGATAAAAATAAAAAAGTTCCAAATTTTATAATTAGGGGATTTATTTGGAAAGAGAGTACCCCTTTTCTGGCTACTGTCTCATAGTCAGCATGACCCACAGAAAAGATCTGGAGCTTCCCCACTTGGTGTGTCAGGCAGTCCATTTCAAAGTGAGTTCAAAGCATCTAGACCACAAGGTGATATTGAACCTTCATAGTCATCAAAGTCTAGGGACCGTGATTATCAGTTTTCGAAGGGAGATCTGAACTGTTAATATATGTCACTTAGGGAACTTTTCTGATCTCTAGCAAATAAGGGTTGACAAATAAATGATATTTTGCACTAATCAGCTCTTTAGATAGCTAAAATAATAAAGTACTTCAAGCTGTATTGTTTGTAGTAGTTAAGTGTGGAAAGAAGACCTTGGTACACAATGTTGACCACAGAGATCCCAAGGCTTGTCACAGGCACTCTAGTAGCGAGCCTTCCTAAGGATCATTATAAACTTTAGTGTTTCACTAATGGAGTAGATAAGGCATCACCAAAACACTGTCTCAACACCTATCCACTTCGCATTTCTAAAATCTGACATTTGAAATGTTCA